TTTTGGCATGCAGCGTAGTACGACTTTTTCGACTTCTTTGCTGTCTTCATGCGTTTGGCCCACGGCTTTTGCGCTTTCACAAACTGGTCGTGAGCATCCTGAGTGTCATCAACGCAGCAGGGTGCGCATACATGCAGATTGTAGTTTGATGAGAGATGCACTCTAACCTCTCGCACACTGACAGACAGACAGACAGACAGACAGACAGACAGACAGACAGACAGACAGACAGACAGACAGACAGACAGACACATGAAGGCGAGTTCGAGTTGCTGACCTTTGTGACGCGCCAGCCTCGCAGCTGTCGCGTGTATGTTGATTTGCGCCACTTTGTGACCTCCTTTTGCACACTCTCGCGCAGTTGTGTGTCGTTGTTTGCATGGACCTGTCAAGGTACAGCGCCAACGAAGCAAGCGGCAAAGACCAATGCACACCTCTGTGAGCAGCTTGCTTTCATCCATGCATGCATCCTTGCACATCAGTGATTTGAGTTTTGATCTTGTACACAGATACACACATGCACACAAAGATAGATACACACATGCACACTCACAGACACACAGACACACACAGACACAGACATATACATACATGAACACACAGACGCACGCACACACACAGACACAGACATATACATACATGAACACACACGCACGCACACCTCTGACAGCTGGTCTGCTTCTGTGAGGAGAGAGTGCCACGCAGGCTTGAGCGTGCCGTCGCTGTCTTCATGCCCTTTGGTGATCTAGATGAGAGACGTGACAAGTTGACAACATGGGGCAACAGAACAGTGTGTGATGACTTGATTGGATGTGCGAATGCAGGCCGGCAAGGCGCAATGGCATCGAAGGCGTTCACAAGGGAGCAAGAGCACCGGTACGGGTGTGGGTGGTTCACAGCAATGAGCACCTTGTCGTTCCATTTCTTGCTCCAGGAAGCAAGCATCTGTGCATACTTCTTCTCGATGTGTGCCCTTGAGAACAGGTGTGCAATCGCGTGCAAGTGAGCATCACCGTTTGTGGTCACACAGAACAGGCTGGCAGCAGGCACACGCTGCTGTCCAACTACGTATGTACACAATTGCGCACACCGGTGTGTGCACTCTCACAGACAGATAGACAAACACACACACACACACACACACACACACACACACACACAACACACGCCATACTCACACACACACACACACACACAAACACCATACACACACAAACACACACAAACACACACACCATACACACACAAACACACACCATACACACACAAACACACACACCATGCACACATGCACACCAAGCTCCTTTCCAACAAGGTACGTATGCTCGTACCTCTCAAGCACCAGGCGGGAGAAGTCATCAAGAAGGGTTGCGCCGGCATCGAGGCGCTGCACGGCGCGCTTGAACTCGCCAACCTGCCAGAAGTTGGGCACGCTCTCGAGGTTGTTTGCCTCCTGAATCTTCTTGGTGAAGTCGGGGAGGTTTCGGTACTCGACCGAGTTTGGTCCACGAAACATTGTGGCTGCTGCTGCACCTGGGTTCGCCGCTGTTGACAAGCAAGGGATCAGGAAGGAAGCCGAAGGTGCGGGCAAACAAGGTGTTGTGTCTGTGTGCTGACGTGGTGCTCGCGCTGACTGTTGACTGTTGACTGTTGACTGATGCTGGTGTGGCTTGTTGTGTCTTTGTGTTTGTCTGTGAGGTGGAGGTCTCAGTCGATGTATGTGTGCCTGTCGTTCTTGTTCTGATGGCTGCTGCTTCTTCTTCTTCGTGTTTGATGTCTGTGTTGCTGGGGCGGGTGTGTGTGTGTCTCAGTCAGCCAGCCATGCTTGGTTGGTTGGCTGCCGCGCTCGCTCGTTTCCGAATGCGGAATGCGACGCAAAAGCAGCGTTTGAATGCGCCGGGATTCGTCAGGTCGGAATTCTACAGAAAATACAGCAAACTATCTCTTCCGAAAAACACCGAACGCAGGGTCCTTCTTGACAGACTTATGTGCTGTCGTGGCTTGTACGACACGACAGACAAAGAGAGAGTGGCATTGACACATGTCATGTCACAGCAGCACAACAAAAAGACACAACACTTTTCTCTGTGTCACCACCCGATACACACGCCCTGAATCGACGAGCAGCTGCCAAGATGTTCAAGAAGTGGGCAAAGAAAGTGGAGAAGGAGGTTTCAAAGGCAGCAAAGAAAGTGGAGAAGGAGGTGTCAAAGGGAGCAAAGCAAGTGGAGAAAGAGGCGTCGAAGGGAGCAAAGAAAGTGGAGAAAGAGGTGTCGAAGGGAGCAAAGAAAGTGGAGAAAGAGGTGTCAAAGGGAGCAAAGAAAGTGGAGAAGGAGGTGTCAAGGGCAAGCACAGACGTGGTGCAGGAGTTTAAGCGGGTGCAAGCGCGTTGTCAAGGCGAAAAAGCCCCCGAGCTCGAAACAAGACGCCGAAGCGAGGTGACTGGACGTGAGCAGAAGGAAGAACCAAACGACACTCCAGAGCGCGACCGAGACACCTCAACACAGCAGGTATCCTCCACCGAGCCCAAGGTGCGCACCAGACTTCAGGTGGCCGTGTTCTGCTTGCTTGATCCATGATATTCATTGCATGGGCATCCGAACATCAGCAGCTGCGTGCGTGCAATTGCGTCCATGTGCTAGTGTCTTGTGCTTGCATGCTGCAGTACATTTGCGCGCGTACCACAGCCCATGACAACCGGTTTGAAGCAAAGACCTCCCCCCTAACTCATTGCACATTGCTTCTCGCTCTTGTACAAATCTTATCCTGCAGTCACAAGATCCCGATGGTAAGGCTGCCGAAGACCAAGAACAAGGAAGTCAGCAAGCTGGAGCGCCCGAGGAGAAACCACGCGCAAGCAAGGAGGTGGAAGACCTCATTGCGAAGACCGTTCTCAGCGACAATCATAAGGATACAATCAGGGCCCTCGCCAACAACACCTGCCCGCAGGAAGTCAGGTATGTGCTGTGTCACTGTCAAGACGAGTTGATTGAAGCCAAGAACGGTCAACGGAGGCATGGCTGTTGTCTGCACATGGCACGAGAAACAGTCCACTCATCTTCTGCTTGCTTCCTCGCATCAACACTCCCACGCTGCGTGGCCTACAGCTTGAACAGTGCTGAGCTCGACCTCAATGGGGTATATGCGGTTGCAGCAGCTCTCAAGGGAAATACGTGCCTTACGACCTTGAGGTGGGGTGCACGAGTAATGGCTTGGATCCCAAGAACTACACCCACCAGTCCACCCCTCTCCCTCCCTTACACCTGCTCATTTCCCACGTGCCCCCATGCTGCGCAGGTTGCAGAATAACGGCCTAGGTGACGAGGCTGCTATCGCACTGGCAGACCTTGTGCGGCAAAACACTACACTGACCGTGCTCGAGTACGTGTCTTATCTGTATATGTGTATGTATGTGTGTTAAAATGTGTGTATGTGTATGTATGTGTGTGTATGCGTATGTATTTGTGTATGCGTATGTATTTGTGTGTATGCGTATGTATTTGTGTGCATGCGTATGTATGTGTGTGTATGTGTGTGTGTTTATGTGGATGCGTGTTTATGTGGATGCATGCTTGATATCGGGCATCCTTTTGTCTCCTGCTTGTCTTCGGCCAATGGTGTGGTGTTACCGCTGTGTCGCGTGTTCACTCGCTGTCTGGCCACGTGGTGATGTGACGTAGCCTGCGCCACAACGCGATCAGCACAAACGGCGGGACCGCTCTCGGAGCAGCATTCGCCCAAAACACCACGCTTCACGACTTGCGGTACGTACTCGCAGTCTGTGCCACATCCATCTTGTAGGGTGACATTTCGTTGCGCTGAGACACCATCCTCGCCACGGACGTTTGTGTACATGTCACCACAGCCGTTGATTTACGTACATCGAACACCGCTTCAACTCTGAGCTTCTTCACTCATCAGCGAGTGTTCCTCCTTGGTCCAATCTGCCTGTCACCTTGTAGGCTGCAGAACAATACCGCAGCTTGTGCGCGAGCATTTGGTGCTGCCCTCCCACTCGATCGAGCCAGTGGACTGACCTGGTGTGTGCTGTGTGCGATTGTGAATCGCTCCAGAGATGCAGAGTGTGATGTGTCGTTGCACGCGATCGGTGTTCTCTTCGTACCATCTGAATGGTATTGTCTTGCACCGTGCAGTCTTGGTGGCCCTAGCACCTTCGTTGTCAAATTTTCATGCAATGGAAACGCCCATTCGCTGACCCCCATTCGCCATCCTGTCTTTTGTTTTCCACCACTTCAGGGGGGATGATGATGCAGAGGGCAAGGCCGGGTTTGATGCAGGATGCGAGGAGAAGAGACAAGCTACGCTTGACACAGCGTGTAAGAATGGCGACATTGACAGCGTCGCTGCGCTCATCAGCCAAGCAGCAGATATAAACCATCAGAATGAACAGGTGCGCCTCGTGAATACAATCGTGTCAGGTATACTCTGTGTGTGTTTGCGGGTTGTGTATTGCGTGTTTTGATGGCACTTTGTGTGCTTGTGCGTGTTTGCGTACTTGCGTTGTGGGTGTACATGCACTTGTTTTGACTATTTCACTCTTGCGTCACCATGTCATCCTCAACCTCAACACGCTTTATGTGTAGGGCGACACACCACTACACGTTGCCTGTCGGTTCGCACATCCTGACATCATACAGCTGCTGCTGGAGAAAGGCGCTGACAGCACTGTCAAGAACAACAAGGTATGTCGTGGGCTTGTGCACGCCACCTGCGTTTGTCCGTTGTGTCACACCTTGCGATACACCCCTCTCCGTTGACCTGTTGCTGGGACATTCAACCAGAAACCTTCCTTGTACGTTCACACACGCCACACGTACACATTGAACTACACCCTCTTGATATTCAAGGGTGAGACAGCGCACGATGTGGCACAGTCGAGCCACACAGCTGTGCTGAGCATTCAGGGGCTGAATCCCCAAGCACATGCTGCCCAGCAGCAAGCATCAGCTGTGAATGCAACTGAGCTCGAACAGGAGGAGCTTACTGACGCAACTGACCATGTGAGTCGCTCGCTATATCAGCGTTGATGCTTGCATTTTCTCTCCTTTTCTGACGTGAATTTCGCTGGACTCGTTGCCTGTGCCTTGCAGTTCTTCTCACATCAACACTTTCTACAACAGCGCGAAAGCGTAATGGCGGCAATGCACCAGATTGCACAGCATTCAGACACACAGACGGCAGGGCGTGCCAAGCTGATGCTGGTTGGAGAGGGGCGTGCGGGCAAGACCAGCACCCTGCACTCCCTCATGGGCGATGACTTCAACAAGGGCGAGCACTCTACTTTTGGCGCCGACAGCATGGATCTGTCTGTCATCGTCGAGTCCATGGACGTCTGCAACTGGCAGGTGTGATTGTGTGCGTGTGTGATTGTGTGCGTGTGATTGTGTGCGCGCGTGTGTGATTGTGCGTGTGTGTGCGTGTGTGATTGTGCGTGTGTGTGCGTGTGCGTGCGTGCGTGCGTGCGTGTGTGTGTGTGTGTGTGTGTGTGTGTGTGTGTGTGCGTGTGTGTGTGTGTGTGTGTGTGTGTGTGTGTGTGTGTGTGTGTGTGTGTGTGAAGGGATCGCGGCTTTTTCGCTTGCTTGCAGGCGCACATTCTTGTCCATGTCCCCTCACATTAATGCTTGCACTCTTCCACACATCACAACAGCACCTCGCAAGCGGCCTGAGCGAGTACATGCGCACGCTTCTGGGCACGGCGCTGGCACAGACTTCTGGGATGGACGCAGCAATGAAGGAGGCGATGATCGCGGCCCTGAAGGAGCACCAACAGCGGGTCAAGCAGCAGCAGTTGGGGAACGATGGAGAAGGTGACGGTGACAACTCTGAGGAGGATGTAGACGGCGATGAGAACACACAGCATGGCACACCATCATCCGTGCCAAAGAAGACGTCCCCAACCCCCGATCATGTGCAAGGCGATGATCACCACTCCTCGTCTTCGCCAGCCGCTAAGCCGTCACAGTCTCAATATCAACAGCACAACGCATCAGCTGAGGCAGCAGATACTGGTCTTCTCCCCAAGGTGTCGACTGAGGAGATTGAGAAGGCGATCAAGAACTTCAATTTGAACACGACCACGGGCGAGGGCAGCGCACGGGTCACGTTCAAGGTGTTTGACCTGGGCGGACAATCCACCTTCTACATCTTCCACCCTTTCTTCCTCACCGAGTGAGTCGTTCGTTGTGTGTGCGTGCGTGTTCTGTGTGTGTGTGTGTGTGTGTGTGTGTGTGTGTGTGTGTGTGTGTGTGAGTGTGTGAGCGTGTGTGTGAGCGTGTGTGTGAGCGTGTGTGTGTGCGTTTCTGTGTGCGTCCTGTCCACCGCTCCCGTCCACCACGACACTTTTCCCGGACCCCACACCATCCTCATCTTTGTTCCATCCCCAATTTCCCCTCCACAGGTACGCGGTGTACCTGCTGGTGTTCTCCATGGAGGACCTGTTGCACCAAGACGAGAGCAAGCGAGCGGAGACGTGGGAGTTTCTGGAGCACTGGCTCTCCTCCCTCCACCTCCACGCCAAGGGCGCACCCGTCCTCATCGTCGGCACACATGCCGACAAGATCGATGAGCGCAAGCAGCACGAGGGCATCTCATGTGGCATCTACAACCGCCTGTGCCACAACGCAGCTTTTCCTTCCGTCCTCTACAATGGCAAGAATGGCCTCTGGTTCTGGCCCGTTGACAACACCAAGTCCAAACACGATCCCATGATCAAGGACCTGCGCCAGACCATCTCCTCCACAGCAGTGGCGCAGGAGTACGTGAACCAGCAGGTGGCTGTGCCCTACCTCCACCTCTATGACCGGCTCAATGCCATCGCCCTGGACGAAAAGCGCCCACTGCTCACGTTTGATGAAGTGGTGGAGATTGCGCGCGCGTGCGGGCTGCGCACACGTGACGAGACGCGTGCGTGTCTTAAATTCTTCCACCTGTACTCCATGGTGCTCTACTACGACAACGTGCCAGGCATGGACCAGTTTGTGATCCTGAGCCCGCAGTGGGCGGTGGACACGATGACGCGCGTCATCCGCAACTTTGGCCTGCACTACAACTCGCACGACCAAGAGGCGATGAGACTTGAGCCTGACCTGTGGCAAGATTTGATCCATCGTGCGATATTGCACCGTCGCCTCCTGGACGTGTTGTGGAGGGACATTCGAGATGACGTGATTGAACCGTTTCTTCACCTGATGATGGAGTACGGGCTGTGTGTGGAGTACTCGCCACCCGTGATGATGCAGTCCGGCCACCACCAACAGCACCAGCACCAGCAACAGCAGCAGCAATACCTTGTCCCAGCAATCCTACCGATGACGCTGGAGGATGAACAGGCGTCGTCATCAGTCACGCTGAGCACGGCAGCAGCACAGCAAGCCAACCCGTATGTTGGATATGAGGAGAAGACAGCGTACATCGTCTTCAGCCTGAGGGAGTTCAAGAGGGGTGTAAGCGCCAAGATTGCAGACACGCAGCAAGCCTCCTTCCTGCCAGAGGGCCTGTTCCCAATGGTGTTGGCACGCATGATGGCGCACATGCAGCACGGCGCAACCGAGCCGCCCATGCTGAGCCGCACGCATGCCATCATCTTTGTGGATATTGCAGAGATTCGCCTGCAGCTCGTGCCCGCTGTCGGCGGTATCAAAATCCAGATCACAAGCCCACGCCCTCGCACGCTGCTGCAAATACTGTTTGACACCATCACAGTCGCTGTCAAGCAGCGCTTCGGCGAAATCAGAGCCAGCCTCCTGCTTCCCTTTGACAAGAGCAGACTGCTCTTCCATGAGGAGGTGCACCGCCACCACAGAAACAAGCGTTTCCTTCGCGTCGCCCAAGCGCAGCCGTTGTCACCTGATGACTTGGTCACCCGTTTTGGTCCTCTGCTGCCGGTCCTTGGCCAGCAAGATGAATATGATGTCTTCATCAGCTACAGGTGTGTGTGTGTGTGTGCGTGCGTCGCGTGTGCATGTGTGTGCATGTGTGACAACTGCGTATGACCTCTTTGCCCTTGTTCATCCTCCACGTGATACACACACACACTCTCTCCCACTCATGCACACACTCGCACACTTCTATCACCTCCACAACCACCACAGGCAACGTGGCAACGCTGGCCTGGTGATGACCCTTCACCCAAAATTGGAGCGCCATGGCTTGGTGGGCTTTGTGGACGCCAACAACCTGGAAACTGGCCTCAACTTCAAGCACGCGTGCCTGACAGCTCTCCAACACAGCGTGGTCGCCTGCCCCATTGTATCTGTCGCTGCCATCCATCAGATGCGCTCGCTCGGCCACAATGACACGTGCGACAACGTGCTGCTGGAGTGGATGGCGATGTTGGAGCTGCAGCAGCTCGTACACCAGCATTCAGACAAGATCCGCCTTCGCCGCATCGTCCCTCTCTTCATCAGCAGTGGCTGGCACGGCCCCAACTATCACGCCATGAGCACGGCAGAAGCGAGCGAGTACGACTCGTTTGACCGCCTGAAGCGGCTGGTGATGGCACTGCCGGATGTTGTGAGCAAGGAGACGGCAGCAGCGCTGGACCAGTACTTCGCGCAGGTGCTGCACCTACCGCCACCCCAGCAGCACAAGAGCGTGCGCCAAGTGGTGCTATCCCTGTTTGACATTGACGCCGTCATTGTATTTGGGGATGCCTCAGATGCGGACCGTGCAACACAGCTGCGACACATGGCAGAGCGAGTGCGCCGAGTTGTCGTCACTGTAAAGTCAAAGCTGGTAAGAGAGTGCGCCATTGTCCCTGAAGACCCGTGTGTGCGCAGCTGCCGAATGCATACGACCCTCATACATCTCTCGTTGTTTTGACTTGTTTTGCGGCTTTCTCGTTGTTTGTGCAGTCAGCCTCCACATCATCATCCGCTTCAACTCCGGCAACGTCTACTTCAACGTTCATGGAGCAACAGGTTAGAGTGGGCGTGTGTTTGTGGTTTGAATATGCCTGCAGACAGCGAAGGTGGAGAACAAGTGGCATGGCACGCATGCCTGTTTGTTAGCATTTGTCACTTTCATCACTTTTTGTTTACACCATTTCCAACAACCTGCGTTTCCAGGCGTTTGCCGATGCCACTGATGCACTTGCCGCGAATGTGCAAGAATGGCTGCAATCCATTTCGTTGTTGACCGCTGTCGGCCCTGCTCTCGTCGCATTTGGCGTCTGCACCTTCAATGATCTTGATGAGGCTCTGGCACCCGATGTCGAAGACGACTTCAGGGCTGAACTGCGGTTGGCTGGCGTGAAGCCATTGCACATCACCCGCCTTATCAAAGAATCCCGTGCACGCGAGCATTGAGCAACTCCCGGAGTGGTCGACGTATTGTCATTGCTGCAGAACATGTGTGAACATTGTGCCTCGTTGGTTGATGCTTGGGCGCCTTGTCATTCGTTAAGAAGAGTTGTATGAAGTTCGTGCCTCAGACTGCGCAAGGGCGGTGAATTCAAGTCACCAATCGCCGGCCATGTGTCAGTTGTTTTCATGCTCAGCTCTTCAATTGCTGTCCATACTTGCCAGGTCCAATCAAATCTCTCTCCCCTTCTCTCACCCCTCTCAATCATCTTCCAACAATTGGTTTGTTTATGTTCTGAAGCAGCTTTCTAAATACACGTCATAAATGCATGGGTGGCGTTGATGTTTGACTGGAGGGCTGCGTATGTGAGGCTGCTGCTGTTGTTGTTGTTGTCGACGTGGTTGAAGGGGGTGGAATAAGGATTCGACTTGAGGTGTCCCGAGCTACAGTTCAAGGTTACATTGAAATCACACAGCAGCTTCGCATCACGTTGCAGTCGTGTCACGTTGTTACATATCACTCACTCGACGTCCTTTCCTTCATTGTCTCCTGGAGTATCACTCGCCGTTGCGTCGGGCTGAGCGCGGATGTCCAAAACATCAACAGCTGCTGGTCCTGTGGCGGGAGCCCAAGCACCTAGCATGGGTGGTGGTGATGGTGGTGGTGTGGAAGCAGGGGGGGGGGGGCGCACGTGACATTGGGGGGGGGGGGGATGCATGTCAGCGATGTGCATGGGCATGTCGAGATGGGGCGGCAGGCGGACACAAACAAACACTCACTCGCACATTCACCACAGACACACAGACTCACCTGTAGCGCTCGGTACGGAGGTACCTTTTTTCCTCGGGTCAATGCAAAGTACATCTGCGTGCCGTTGACAAGCCATCGCTGACGTGAGCAGCATGTGATCATCGACACACACACACACACATACACAAGTACACGTACACACACACACACACACACACACACACACACACACACACACACACACACAAGTACACGCACGCACACACACACACACACACACAAGTACACGGCAATCACGCTAGCATGCACTCGAACCTTGGCGATGCGGGTGTACTTTTCCCTCAGGGCGCGAAGCAGTTCCACGGAGAGCTCGGGGTCGTGTGGGCGTTCAGACGCTTCGAGTACGGCTGTCACAAACGTGTTCACGTGTCCATCTGTACAGCAGAGAATGCAGTGTGGGAAGTATAAGCGGGAATCGCAGCCCGCAGAACGCAACAGCGAGCTGTCTGCACACGCACACACATACATACACATGCACACACAGACAAGCGCAAACACACAAATACACGCACATGCACACGCACAAAACACCAGCACATGCACCAACCTGGTCCAGGCGAGCCTTCCACGTCAACGCGCTTGATGGGCGCATAAAATGGCCAATCCTCATCAACATCAGCATCAGCACCATCAGCACCATCAGTCATGGCTTCCACAGCTGTGTGTATGCGCAGTAAGACAGCACCTTTGCTCGCCAAATCATCGGGCAGCGAACCAGCACCGCTCATCCCCTGCGTTTGGTTTGCCGTGGAAGAGTCAGTGCAGCGTGGCACAACTTGCCCAAGCTTCAACCGATGCGCATCACACGCCAAAACAAACAACCACGCATTCACACTCCTCTCACCACTTTCACGCGCACAGGCGCACAGCACGTCAGTCAACCAGCTTGTCTCACCCTCCCCCACCATCACACACACATACACACACACACATACACACACACGCACCAGGATGTTGCATGCGTATGTTGGCACGTATTCGCGCTGGTTCACGTTGAGCGAAACACAGCGGTCTGGAAGTGTGCAGGCAAGTAATTGCGCGATTGCAGTCGACACGGATGGCTGGCAGCAGCACATGAGCATGAAGCATCACAGCGTGAGCAGGGCTGCACGACCCAACAGCAACATATCATCCCACTGTATGTGTGTGTCTGTGTGTCTGTGTCTGTGTGGAAGGGGGACGAAATGGTGGATTCGTGGTGGGGCAAGGACTGCTGTTGCGGTGCACAGACAGACAGACAGACAGACAGACAGACAGACAGACAGACAGACAGACAGACAGACAGACACACACACACACAGACGTACACACACACGCGCGTTCACACACACATACATACACACACATACATACGCGTACCTGGGATGCGAGGACGATGCACTGGTTGCCAATGGAGATGTGATGGAGGGCAAGACGCATGCTGTCTGTGCCGAGCACATTGCACAAGTCCGACAGGGAAGCAGCAGGCATGTCATCGAAGCTGGTGGGGGCGGAGCCAACGAGAGACCCGCCCTCCAGTGGCCGCTCAACCAGGCGAGCATGGAATCCCTTTGTGTTTCGAACCCGCAGCATGACACAGACGCAGTGTAGTGAGAATGAAAAGCAGGGGCGAAGAGGAGGGGTAAGTAGACAAGGAAGCAAACAGCCACAAAAAAAAATTACACAGGCAGAACCGAGCACACAGCCCACCAACAAAGCAGTCCAAAACAAACGCACCAAACAACAACAACAACAACAACAACAACAACAACAACAACAACAACAACAACAACAACAACAGCAGCAGCAGCAACAACAACAACAACAACAACAACAACAACAACAACAACAACAACAGCAGCAGCAGCAACACACACACACACACACACACACACACACACACACACACACACACACACACACACACGCTTTCCCCCAACACACCTTAAGGACCCAAGTGAGGTAGGCGTGGATGTCAGAGTAGAGCAGTGGCGACTCAAGCAGCTGGATCAGCGAGAGGAAATCAGATGTGTCACGCAGGCTCTTGAAGCGGTCAAACGGAAGATTGCGCCGACACGACGTCAGCGCGCCCGCAACCAGGTGGGAGGAGTGTGGCAGGTTGACGGACGCAGCCTCCGCTCGCCGCACAATGTCGCGCACGAGCACAGAGACGTGTTGCCTCAAGAATGACCACGATGACGCAAGATACAGCTTGTCTGCAACCAAAACCAGGATCCCATACCGGCGATGGCCGCCCCGTGCAGAAACATCCTTCACCTCAAACACGTGGCTGAACGTGAAGCCTTGTTGGCTGTCACCGAAGAGAACAGGCCCGCCTTTTGTCACCTCGCTGCTGAACGCTCGCAGGCACGCGCGTCGCAATGGGTCATACACCTCCGACCGCAGTGGGCGGTGCTCGGACAGATACAGCGTGCTGTTCTCCTCATCAAACGATACAAACCCAGGCTCCTCACACGGCCACCCACATGCCGGGCAGTCGACGTGGCCCGCGTACAAGGTACTCACCCCAAACGCGCCCCCGTTGATGCTGGTGTTGCTGCGGGTGGCGTGTTCCCCAGCGTCGGCGTCGTAGTTGTTCTTGTCGTCGCTGTTGGCGTTGCGGGTGTTGCGGTGGTTACTGTCGTTGCTGCTGTAGTTGTAGCTGCCGTTGTGGTGGTTAGTGGTGTTTCCATCACCACTGGTGTTGTTCGTGGACGGCCCGTCACGACTGGTGGTGCCACGGCGGCTGCGCCCGTTTCTCTGCTCCTCTCCGCAGCTCGCTGTCGGCGTGCTCGCAATGGAGGACCGTCGACAGTGACCGGGGCGGTGGTGCGCCTGTGCGCTGGAAGGGCGACTGGACGGTGCACTGCCGTACCGTGGACTGGCAGCCTCGCGTGTTGACGCGCTTGTCTGCCGGCTCAACAGCGCAACACTGTCGTATTGGTGGGCGCGCCCATCTTGACCACCGCCGCCAGCCTCGGTGGCGCCCCTGGGGTTGCCGTGGTCCCCACGTTTTGCACTGCTCCCGTCCACGATGCCGTTGAGATGTGTGTCGCTGCCGAGGTCCAAGTCAAACGTCAGGCGCGGCACGGGCGGCGGCGAAGTCGATGCTGATGACGGCAGCGCGCCGGTCCGCTGGTGTCGACGACGTCGCGTGCGATGTGCAGGACGTATGCGGCCGCGCACAGGCGGCCCGTCGTCGAGACCGACGAGGGTTGGTCGAAGGGGCGTACAGGGCTCTGTCAGCTCTGTCAGCTCTGCATTTGATGCGGCCGGGGATCCACGGGAGCCCGATCGCCTGCCCGGCGACCGATGTGCAAACGAGGGTGACATGGACTGCAGCTTCGACTGCAGTGCAGTGGAATTGCTTGGGCCTCTTCGATTGGCCCTTGTTCCGCAGCCTGCGCGTCTCCGTTGCTGTGGAGATGTCGGGGCAGAGTAAAACGGTCGTGTACGTGCGGGCAGCTCAGTCAACGGCCTTCCAGTGAGCGACTGCCCTGCATCCGCGCTCCAGTCACCATCGCCATCATCATTAACAACATTGACACCACCGACATAAGCGTCAGCATCATCGTCGTTATCTTCCACATTGTTGATGCTGGTAACACTGAACGAAGCACCGCGGTTTCGAGCAAACATGGCCTCCGCCAGCGTCATGCTGCCACTGGAGCTCGTGCGCCCGCGCATGCACTGCTCCGCTGCGTCCCCATTCATGCCATGCTGGTGGTGTTGTGCTTGCTGCCTCTGTTGCCGCCGTTTCTGCTGTCTTTGTTCAACCAGGTGCTGCTGCACAAAATCAGCCGGGTCCGTGCTTGCCAGATGGTGTGTTGTTGTTGTCAGTAGAATCTGCGGGCCGTGCAGTTCACAAAAGTGACACAACGCGGCGATGCTGTTCATGGCGGTGGGTGGGTGCTTGTGGATGTGCCTCAAGTTCCGCCAAAATGGACTGCTCCCGACACCACAAACAGTTTATTCTTCGAAAATCGGTGATGTTTTTATACAATTTTCTACAATCACAGTCGCCACTTGGTGGCCTTTCACCATGTTCCAAACTGATCAGAACGGCGCAGCGTCATCATCATCGCCATCATCGTCGACGTCGTCGTTGTCATCATAGCGGTCGCGCTCGTGCTTGTGTTTCTTCTTCTTTTTCTTCTTTTTCTTCTTCTTCTTCTGTCCGCCATCAAAGTCAGCGCCACCCAGGCTACCGTCACCCGTCCCCTGTCAACAGTGCACAAAGCCACACACACACGCACGTACGCACGTCAGTGACCACCACAAAACGTCGCGTGGGGGCGGGGGGGGGAACGGCTCTCATACAAGAGCGCGTGTGTGCCGAGGGCTGTCACAGTGTCACACACAGTGTTACAGACACAGACACACAGACACACAGCGACACAGTGTCACACACAGTGTTACAGACACAGACACACAGTGTTACAGACACAGACACACAGATAGACACACACAGACACACACGCACACACACACAGACACACAGATCGACAGACACACCTCTACCTTGAACGCTGAGAAGGTGATTCTGATCTTGGGCGTGCGCGGTGTCTCCTCCTCTTTCGTGGACACATGTGCAGGGATTGACATGGACAGCGGTGGTGGCCGTGCCTTTGTTGCCAAAGGTGTTGAGGAGGCTCTTGTCGGTGTGCTGGATGCTTGCTGCGACGTTTTGCCACTTGTCATCGTCATTGTCGATGATTTCACTACTGCACCAGTCGAACCCGTGTCCTTTGCTGCTGCTGTCGTTGCCGCTGATGAGGATGATGATGATGGTGAGGATGGTGATGCAACCTTCGGGGCCGGAGGAGTGGACCGCGCTGCCGATGGTGTTGGCGATGGTCCGCCCTGCTGTGACACATCAGCATGCGCTGG